TGGTCATGCTAAGAAAGATGCCCCAGTTCCGAAATGGATCCTTGCCACTGTTGCAAACTCTGATGATTCCATGTCTTTCCCATGGGGGACATGGGCATTCCTGGAGTCCCTCCGTATCCAATCTTTGGGGAAGGACTTAGTTTCAGAAAAAAAGAAACTTGTCAAAGGCGGGAAAACATCAAACACCCTCCGATACACTGGCTTTGTCCTCCCCTCATCCGTGAGTAAATTAATTTAAATTGATACTAAAAGTTCCTATAAGGAGATGGCTAAATTGGGCTTCATTTATTGCTGAATGCAGTTTCTCCTATTTGAGTGCATTAATGATTTTGGAGAGACATTTGGAGTGAAGATGGAGCAAACAAATCCAGCACTTCCGAGAATGTGTCTCTGGAAAAATAATATTTCAAAAAAGCCGTCGTACGGAGCCATAATCAATGCACTAAACGCTGCCAAGGTAAGGTCTAAAGTTTAAAGAGCAAGGTCGACTTAAGGTGAAAATCGACCTAATGATCTTTAAAGTTAAAGTCGACTTAAGATGTCTTTAATGTGAAGGTCGACTTCAAGATCTACAATCATTTTTTAAATATGCTCTTTCTTTTGTAGAGTGTTAGGAGCATTCTTCTTCCAGAAGGAAGTGAAATACGTGCCCCTTGGATCACCAGACTTCCTTGCCTTCTGTTTCCAATCCAAAACTTGGAGAATTCGTTAGGGGAATCCAAGGTGGTGACAAGCATATTCAATTATGCATGAAAAAACAACTTCTGGCCCAAGCAAGTGAAGATGAAGTTGCTGTAGGAAGGAATTCATCATCAGATGAAGTTCACTCTTCAAGTGAGGGGTCAGAAGTCCCCTCCAAAAAGTATGTCCTTAGGAGGAGAAAAGTATCAAAGCCGTGCACCCCACATGAAAAGGCTGAGCACAGACCTCTGTTGGAAAGGACAACCAATATCAAGGCTTCATCTTTAAGTGGAAATTCTAGTCAAATCTTGCCTAATTCACTGAAAGATTACATTGATGGTAAATTTTCTGTACTTCAAAAGACGCTATGTCAGGAGGTTGAAAATTTCTTGGAAAGAAAATTTCAGACACTAGAAGAAAGAATTCTCTTAACCTTACTTGCATCCTCAAAGGGAAGGACTGCAGAAGCGAAGGAATACAATAAGAAGAAAGAAAAGGTGGTGGAAGTGAATGAGATCGACCACTCTATACATGAAGGGGTGGACCATAATGAAGATGGGAAGGAAGATGAGAAGGTCGACCCCCCTTGTTTTGAATGGGTGAACCATAAAGAAGATGCTATTAAAGATGGGAGGGAAGAAGAGCCGATGGGAGAGAATAAGGTTGACCCCTATAGTTTTGACGGGGTTGACCATAATGAAGAGGAAAAAAATGATTGGAAAGAAGAAGATGGGAAGGAAGGAGATGGGAAGGAAGAAGATGAGCCTATTGCAGACAATATGGTCAAGCTCTCCAGTTTTGAAGGAATTCCTGAAGAGAAAGATGAAGAAGAGGTTGACCAATTTAAAGTAAAGAATAGGTCTCCACCAATCCAGGTAACTTGGTCGACCCCATTCGTCGATCTTTTTTGTTTCGATGATTTTTATGGTCGCCAAAGTATGTTCTTATGTTTTGAACCTTTTGTAAAGCATTATGTTTCCAATTGTCAGGAAGAAGAAGAGGAAAAGCTTGCAGTTGAGGGAGAGGCCAATGAAAATGAGATGGCAAAGAGTGATAAAATTGTCCATGATGTTGGTGAATTCTGCAAATCAACTGAAAACAATGTTGATAAGGTAATAAACTTATATTCTGATATTTTCATTTGTGATCCTCCCTAATGCTTATTCCTTATAAATTCTGAGTAGAAAGTTGAGTTCGATGTTGACGTCTTGAGAGAACTGACAGATGTGGATGAAGTCGCTGCTGCACGGGTACGATTTAATTTGAGTATTATTGAATTAAACTTACTTATCCTTAACATATTACTTTCAACATCCAGGAATTGGGTCGAGGTCTCCGGGAGAAGAAACGAAGTATTCATATATCGAGCCCCTACTTCAGCAATGTACTTAAAAAGGTAAAGGTTATTAATAGTGATGTATCAAATGAGCTGGATAAAGCCGAAGAAGAGCAACTCAACATACGAAGGAACCCATCTAGCCAACAACTTGAGGCCTTCCATCAATTCATGCAGTCGGCAATTGCTGACGGGAGAGAAGTTCAGTGTATCATGGAAAAGAGGGGAGAGTCCCATGGTATTGTTAAGAAGTGGTGGAGTTCCTTGATGGAATCCGGCGGCTGGTTGGAGACCACGGTAATATAAGTTAATATTAGTATTACTCCGTATATATTTATAAGTAAGTATTATAAAGTTAACAACTTATTTTTATTTCATACGCAGCATATGGAAGAAATCATGATCTACTTCATGAAAATGTATAACAAGAAAGATAGCACATATGCCGTCCTCCCAGAGACCTTTCAAATGTTAGGTGAGGTCAATGCCACTACTGAACTATTTCCAATCCTGGACACCGGCCTCACGCAAATAGTTCTTGGTACATGGGACTCATGCTCTAAACC